GACTTGAAATGCTCTGTTTTGATTAAATCAAAACGTTGTTCCGATTCTAACATCTAAAAATATATACACCTCTACCTCGATATAACACTGTCCCCGGGAGCTAAAAAATCTTACCGCGTTATAGGTGAAACCGCGTTATATTGAACTTGCTTTGATCCGCCAGAGTGCGCAGCCCCGCCCCCCCGGAGCACTGCTTTACTGCGTTATATCCGAATTCGTGTTATATCGTGTTGCGTTATATCAAGGTAGAGGTTTATACATTTCAAAACTGTCATTTCAAAATGAAAAATCAGAATGCTTCGTTTCCAATATTTTACAAACAAAATGTCATTGAAATGGACATATTCCCACAGAAAGTTTTGATTCTGATGAAATTCCATTTTCCGATGGAAACATGTTCCATAAAAAAAATTGAACCAGCTCTAATTGTTATCTGAGGCTCCAATCCAGCAAGGCACTTAAGCACTTGAGTGGTCCCATTGAAGGCAGTTGGCGGGTTTCACAGTGTGGCTCACCCCCATAAATGAACTAAGTTCAGCTCCCTTGTACCAGGACAGGTGCTCCCTTTTGGCCAGTTAAGAGGGCAGGACAGCACCTGAGGGCTAAAGGATCAGGGAGAGACAGGAGGAGGTCTCTGGGGAAATCAACAGAGAGCTGGCTGCAGGCCTTCCGTGGAAAGGAGGAGGAATTGTCAGGAAGCCGGCGGAAGAGCCAAGGCCAGTGCCAGCAGGCTGAAAAGAGCTGAGGTCTAGGAAGCCAACGGAGGGGCTAGCCAACCATCCTTCCTGAGCCAGAAAGTCATGGCTGGAGAGGGCTGAAGGCTCAGAGCAACAGAGGGAGATGTCTGCTGGCTCTCAGAGTTGGAGAGCTGAAGCCAGAGGGCCAGAAGGCTGGGAGTGAGGTGTCATGAGGGACGCTGGAGCCGTACAGGAGGGCTAGGCATGTTGAGGAATGGTGGTGCTGTACTGGAGATCTGGGGCATGGCAAAATAACCCTGGGGCTCTATTGGATGTTTTCTCTGGACTCGGGTTGTGGGACTTGTTTCGTTATGGTTTAGATGCATGGGACTTTTTAAATAAATGAACCCCACAAGGGCCATTCGTACTCAGAAAGACTGCTTGGGGAGTCTGAAGGAGGGAAACGGAGGCAGGTGTGCTTGTCATGCCTCTGCCTGCCACCAGAGGGTGCTCCAGACAGGCACTACCCTATGACAGGGGGCTACTCTTGTGCATAAAGTTAAGCATGGGCCAAAATTGATAGCAATTGCACAGTGTGATCTGATAGATGAGTTCCTATTATTATTTATTCTTGTAGCACCTATGAGCCTCATTCATGGACCAGGGCCCCATTGTACTCGGCTCTCTTGATGGGAGGCCTTTAAAGGACCAGGAATGCCAGAAATAATGCCCAGCTTCTTGTTAATAAGAGTTTGTGCTTCTATTCTGCTCTACATGGCAGTGAATATTGACCTCTTCTTTGTCGTATGTTGCATTCCCCACCTCACACTAAGAGCAGTGGCTCCTGCATTCCTTTACCTCCAACACTGTCTCGGATTATGTATTAACAGGTCCAAATGCTTGACATTAAGGCTTTGTTGTGGTTGCAGCTCGTGTGCGTGTGTTTGGAAAAGAGCTGAGATGCTGCCTGTCTTTTCTTTTCAAGCTCTGAAGATTTCAAGGGTGTATCTACACTGCAACATAAGCCCATCCTTGATCCTGGGCTCCAAGCTAATCCCCCTTGCGTCTACACTGCAATTGCAGGGCTCAGAAGCAGGGTCCCAGGACCTTGCAGGACTGGAGGATCCAAGCTCAAGTTAAGCCAGGACCCAGGATCCGAGCCTTATTGCTTTGCAGTGTAGACCCCCCCCCCAGAGAGGGTCCAGGGAGTCAACCGAATGTGAGAACATAAGAATGGCCATACTGGGTCAGACCAAAGGTCCACCTAGCCGAGTATCCTGTCTTCCAATAGTGGCCAATGCCAGGTGCTTCAGAGAAAATGAACAGAACAGGTAATCATCAAGTGATCCAGCCCCTGTTGCCCATTCCCAGCTTCCGGCAAACAGAGGCTAGGGACACCATCCCTGTCCATCTTGGCTAATAGCCATCAATGGACCTATCCTCCCGGAATTATCTAGTTCTTTTTTTAACCCTATTAGAGTCTTGGCCTTCACAGCATCCTTAGGCAAAGAGTTCCAGAGGTTGTCTGTGCGTTGTGTGAAGAAATACTTCCTTTTGTTTGTTTTAAACCTGCCGCCTATTAATTTCATTAGGTGACCCCTAGTTCTTGTGTTATGAGGAGTAAACAACACTTCCTTATTTACTTTCTCCACACCAGTCATGATTTTATAGACCTCTATCATATCCACCCTTAGTCCTCTCTTTTCTAAGCTGAAAAGTCCCAGTTTTATTAATCTCTCCTCATATGGAAGCTATTCTATACCCATAATCATTTTTGTTGCCCTTTTCTGTACCCTTTCCAATTCCAATGTATCTTTTTTGAGATGGGGTGACCACCTCTGCACACAGTATTCAAGTTGTGGGTGTGCCATGGATTTATATAGAGACAATATGACATTTTCTGTCTTATTATCTATCCCTTTCCTAATGATTCCCAACATTCTTTCGACTGCTGCTGCACATGAAGTGGATGTTTTCAGAGAACTAGCCACAATGATTCCAAGATCTCTTTCTTGAGTGGTAACAACTAATTTAGATAATTTTTTATGTATAGTTGGGATTATGTTTTCCAATGTGCATTACTTTGCATTTATCAACATTGAATTTCATCTGGGATTTTGTTGCCTAGTCCTGCACACCACATTTCAGGAAAGATTTGGAGAAAGTCCAGAGAAGAGCAACAAAAATGATTAAAGGTCTAGAAAACATGACCTATGAGGAAAGATTTTAAAAATTGGGTTTATTTAATCTGGGGAAGGGAAGACTGAGAAGGGGACATGATAATGGTTTTCAAGTACATAAAAGGTTGTTACAAGGAGGAGGGTGAAAAATGGTTCTCCTTAACCTCTGAGGATAGGACAAGAAGCAATGGGTTTAAATTGCAGCAAGGGAGGTTTAGATTGGACATTAGGAAAAACTTCCTGTCAGGGTGGTTAAGCACTGGAACAAATTGCCTACAGAGTTTGTGGAATCTCTGTTATTGGAGGATTTTAAGATCAGATTAGACAAACACCTGTCATGAATGGTCTAGTTATTACTTGGGTTTGGTCTCCACCACAAACCTATATTGGTATAACTACGTAGCTCGGGGGTGTGAAAAAATCCACAGCCCTGAGTGATATAGTTATACCAACCTAGCCCCCCGTGTAGACAGCGCTATGTCAGCAGAAGAGTTTTCTCCCACCGACATTGCTACCGCTTCTCAGGGAGGTGGATTGACTAAGCCAACAGACTTAGAGTACACCTCTACCCTGATATAACGCGACCCGATATAACCCGAATTGGGATATAATGCGGTAAAGCAGTGCTCCGGGGGCGGGGGGGCTGCGCGCTCCGACAGATCAAAGCAAGTTCGATATAACGCGGTAAGATTTTTTGGCTTCCAAGGACAGCGTTACATTGGGATAGAGGTGTATTTTCATTAAAGCGCTACAGCTGCATCGGTACAGCTGTGCCAATGAAGCATTTTAAGTGTAGACATGGCCCAGGTCCTGCATTGAGTGGAAGGGCTGGCTTGGATGAGCTATTGAGGTTCCTTCCAGTTCTACACTTCTATGATTCTATGCCTAGAGCTTCTATCTACAGCAATACAAATAATAAATACACACCTGTGACGGGTTGGATCACAAAAACCCCCTTGGGAGCTGCCACCTGATGTGCAAAAGACTACCTCTGCTCCTGTTTTCCCTGCCAGCTCAGGACTTCAGCACCCTGTCTTGCTGAGCCAGACACTCCCGTCTGCTGCAACACAGACCCAGGGTCTGAATCACTTGTCCCAAAGCTGCAAGTTTACCTGAAAACAGCTCACAGAAGTGTGCTTGTCTTTAGCACTCAGATGCCCAACTCCCAATGGGGTCTAAACCCAAATAAATCCGTTTTACCCTGCATAAAGCTTATGCAGGGCAAACCCAGAAATTGTTCGCCCTCTATAACACTGATAGAGAGATATGCACAGTTGTTTGCTCCCCCAGGTATTAATACATACTCTGAGTAAATTACTAAATAAAAAGTGATTTTATTAAATACAGAAAATAGGATTTAAGTGGTTCCAAGTAGTAACAGACAGAACAAAGTAAGTCACAAGCAAAATAAAATAAAATGCGCAAATCTATGTCTAATCAAACTAAATACAGATAATCTCACCCTCAGAGATGCTTCAGTAAGTTTTTCTCAGACTGGACACCTTCCAGGTCTGGGCACAATTCTTTCCCCTGGTACAGCTCTTGTTCCAGCTCAGGTGATAGCTAGGGGATTCTTCATGATGGCTCCTCTCTCCCCTTTGTTCTCTTCCACCCCTTTATATATCTTTTGCATAAGGCGGGAACCCTTTGTCCCTCTGGGTTTCCACCCCCCCTCACTGGAAAAGCACCAGGTTAAAGATGGATTCCAGTTCAGGTGACATGATCACATGTCACTGCAAGACTTCATTGCCCACTTGCCAGCACACACATATACAGGAAGACTCACAGGTAAACACAGCCATCTGCGGATAATGGTCCTTGTTAATGGGAGTCATCAAGATTCCAAACCATCATTAATGGCCCACACTTTACATAATTACAATAGGCCCTCAGAGTTACATTTTATATTTCAGTTTTAGATACAAGAGTGGTACATTTATACAAATCAGATGATCATACTCAGTAGATTATAAGCTTTGTAATGATACCTTACAAGAGACCTTTTGCATGAAGCATATCCCAGTTACGTTATATTCACTTATTATCATGTTTTTATAAAACCATATAGACTGCACAACGTCACAACACCTACTTACAGTTCACCACTGAGGGATGCTCATCACCTTTCTCTTTCATTTTCTAGCTTGCGAAGATGGATATAGGCTTGAAAATGAGACCTGTGTGAGGTATAGTAATCTCTGTTTCTTAACCTAACCCCCTTTTCCCCACCCACTCCCAAAATTTCTATGGTAACATGTTGTCACAACTAAGGCTCTCATGTTTAAAACTCATAGTTCTTTCCTGTTACAGGTGCCCATTCGGCTTGGGGGGATTGAACTGTAGAAACCGTAAGTATGGAACTTCTTGTCCTTTCACATTATTCTTTGTTAGGATCATGAGGGCACAAATGGCTCTTCTATTTCTGATATGTTTTCAGCCTGAACTGCAAGCAGAGTGCTTTGTTCTTCTAATTAGCGGGGCAGAATTTTCCTTGGATCACCATTACCAGTCAGCACTAATTAGAAATTCTTATCCTTTTTTATAAAATGGAGCTCTTACCCAGTGCTAGAAAGTTGGAGTAGTAAGTTTTATTGCTGAACCAGCTGTGGTCGTTTGCTCAACATTAAAGCTGGTCAGAAAATTCCAACATTTTGGGTGGAAAAAATTTGGGCCAAAAAGTTGAAATTTCAAATTTTTTCTCAGAACAGAAATTCAAAAATCATTTGATTTGAAAGCATCGTATAGTTTCATTTAATAATATCAAAACGGTAATAATCTAATCTAATCTAAATGTCTAAACAAAATGAAACAAACAAGAAAGTCGTAACAAATCATTTCAAAATTTTACCATAGGACATTTTGTTGAGGTCTTCTTGTTCCTGCAAAAAGTTTCAATTCTGATCAAACTGAATTTTCCGATGGAAGAGTGTTCCATCCATTTTTTCGACCAGCTCTCCTCAACATTATTACACAAATGACTTCCTGGAGGCCTCCTCTGCACACGTATAGACTCACAGACTTTAAGGTCAGAAGGGACCATTGTGATCATCTGGTTTGACCTTCTGCACATTGCAGGCCACAGAACCTTACCCACCCACTCCTGTAACAGACCCATAACCTCTGGCTGAGTTACTGAAGTCATCAAATCATGGCTTAAAGACTTCAAGTTATAGAGAATTCACCATTTACACTAGTTTAAACCTGCAGGGGACCCGTGCCCCATGCTGCAGAGGAAGGTGAAAAAGTACAGTCTGTCATGAGTTGATCACTGCTGCTTAAAGATGATCTGAAGTGAATTGGCAGACTTTTCGTTGCACACCTCTCGTATGTTCATAAGTACAAACTGTCCCAAAGAGGGGACCTGTTTTTGCATATCTCACAGTTCCCATTTTTCTACCCGGTCCTCCAAAACTCCCCAACTCCAGGTAAATCTACTTGACATAATTTAATGTCCTATTCGATAATTATTGAACAAGAGAAGATAATTCCTAATCCTTTTGCCTGATGGATAGATATGTAGCTATATACCTGTATACTCACTTAAATATTTATAAGCCTGTTATCGTTTCTAAGTCAGTGAGGTCGCCTGTGTCTCTTGTGTTTAGCGTATCAGCTAATCACCGTGGTGATTGCAGCTGCAGGAGGGGGACTTCTGCTTATCCTGGGGATAGCACTGATCATCACTTGCTGCCGGTAGGTATCATAAACCAGATGCCAAATCCTGTGTTAGTGATGTTAATGGATTATACAGGACTTAGTGCCTCACATCTAGACCTGAAAGACCAAACATGCAGAGAACAAAACCTAGTGTAAACAATAGATTTAGTGGAGATACCAAGGGATATATTGTACTTACACTTCAGGGAAAATCTTTTTCCCCCCAGGAGCCAGCCCAAGTAACTCAACTGAGTGCTGGGAATCGTGTTCATTGGGATGGGGAGATAAAGGAAACCTGCCTGCTCCGAGCCATGGAGCAGAAAAGGAGCTGCCTTGCAAAGGCAACTCCAGCTGAGATGAAAGAAACAATTTATGCAATAGGAAAGACTAGAGGATATAGGGTAGTGGGTAATGCTCTGGTCCCCCTCCCCCCCGCAAGCCCCAGCCCAGCCCAGCCCAGCCCCACTGCTCAGACACCCTGTTCATGGCCATGTAGGAAGGCTCTGCAGAGCTAGATTCCATATCACCCATGAAGTGCAGGCCTCTACACGTTCTTACAAGTGCTGCCTCTCTTTGGTACCACAAAATTACTCTGGCCAGGAGGCCTTCTGTACCTATGGACTGGGAGCAACACTTAATTTGTGCCCCGCCACCTCTAGGCTTGGCAGTCCATAACCCCGCCACCTCTGGGCTTGGCAATTCATAGCCCTGGCACCTCTGGGCTTGGCAGTTCATAGCCCTGGCACCTCTGGGCTTGCCGTGTCAGTTATGAAAGTAAAAAAATTGCTTGAGGCCTGGCACCTAAAGGCTTGACCCCCAGCACCTCTTTCATTGCAAATTAAGCACCAAATGAGAGGCAGGATTTACCCCATAGTTAAACAGAATTATACTCAGTATATTTAATATAGCACTTTACAGTATTAATTAACCTATACCACACTTTTGTGAAGTAGACAAGTATTATGATACCAGTTCTGTAGATGGGTAACATGATTGTGTCAGGGTTGCCTAGCAAGTCAGTGGTATAGCAAAGAACAGAACCAAGGAGTCCTGACTCCTAGTCTTCATATCTAGGTACAAGATCACCTCCCTTCCTTAAGTAGACTATCCACTCAATAGCATATATGCGCATCATTGGGATATCACTCTCTTTGGGGACACAGTTTTGGATCTAAATCTCCTCCAAAGGAGAGTCTCATAAGATACAGTAGATAGGTGGGTTGTTTGGGGGGGGGGGGGGGGAAGGTTTGAGATTCTGGGTGTTCAGACAGTTGCCTAGGGCATTGATCCAAGCAGTTTCAATATACATGCAAAATATGTCTATTCAAATGTACAGAAACTTGACAAGCTTGACCTTTCCCTGACTTTCGACACTTCCATGACTCTTCTATGAACTAAAATACATAAATTCACTGATTTTAAGGCCAAACAGAACTATTATGATCATCTAATCCGGGGGGGGGCAAACTTTTTGGCCCGAGGGCCACATTGGGGTTGTGCAACTGTATGGAGGGCCGGGTAGGGAAGGCTGTGCCTCCCCAAACAGCCTGGCCCCTGCTCCCTATCCGCCCCTCCCATCTCCCATCCCCTGACTGCCCCCCTCAGAATCCCCAACCCATCCAACCTCCCCTGCTCCTTGTCCCCTGACCACCTCCTCCCAGGACCCCCGCCCCCTATCCAACCCGCCTGCTCCCTGTCCGCCCCTACCCCTATCCACACCCCTGCCCCCTGACAGCCCCCCCCGGGACTCCCACCCCCTATACAACCGCCCTCTGCTCCTCGTCCCCTAACTGCCCCCCGGGATCCCACCCCCTGCTCCTTGTCCCCTGACTGCCCTCCCAACCCCTATCCACATCCAGGCCCCCTGACAGGCCCCCCAGGACTCCCACTCCCAACCCTCCCTGTTGCCCATACCCAGACCGCCCCCCTAGAACCTCCGCCCCATCCAACTGCCCCCTCCTTCCTGACTGCCCCCCAGAACCCTCCGCTCCCTTACCCAACCCCCCCGCTCCCCGCCCCCTTACCTGCAGCAGGAGCTCACAGCCGCAACACCCGGCCAGAGCCAGCTGCGCTCCCCACCCTGCCCAGCGGGAGCGGCAGGCCAGAGTGCAGCCTGCGTGGCGGCGTGGCTGCAGGGGAGGGGAGATAGCAGGGGAGAGGCCAGGGACTAGGTGGGCTGGGCAGGACGGTCCCACGGGCCGGCTGTGGCCCGCGGGCCGTAGTTTGCCCATGTCTGATCTAATCTGACCTCCTGTGTAAAACAGGTTATAGACTCTCACCCAGTGATTCCTGCATCAAGCCCATAACTTCTGTTTGAGCTAAAGCGCATCTCTTTTAGAAAGACAGGCAGTCCTTATGTAAAGACTTGAAGTGATGGAGAATCCACCACGTCACTAGGTAAGTTGTTCCAGGGGTTAATTACCCTCACTGTTAAGTCATTCCAACCTTAGTCGCAAGGTTTAGGCTTGTCTGCACTGGAGATTCCAGCCAAGCGGGCACCAGTGCAAACCCTGACTATGAACAAGAAAAGAACAGTTTTTACACTAGTGCAGCTTACCCCAGGGATAAGCTGCATTGGCAAAAACTGGAGTTTTCTTCACCTACAGTCCGGGTTCACACCACTGCCCGCAGTCAGGGCAAATCTCCTTAAATCACGTCACCGTAACAAGACAGCAAGGTCAATTTTCCCTTTTCTTTTTTTTTTTTTTTTTTTAACAGGAAGAACAAAAATGACATAAGTAAACTCATCTTCAAGAGTGGGGATTTCCAAATGTCGCCATATGCCGAGTACCCCAAGAATCCTCGAGCACAGGAGTGGGGCAGAGAGACCATAGAAATGCAAGAAAACGGAAGCACGAAAAACCTGCTACAGATGACGGATGTCTATTATTCGGTATCTATTCCTGGGTTCCACCTGTACTTTCTCTTTTGTCTGATGGTCCAGAGATAGTGTATCCTTTGCTACGTGAGATGTGGACACATGGCATGTAAGACGAAAGCAAATACCTGAGATTTGAGAGTCTTGCGGGCACAGTTTCTGAGCCTGCAAACCATTACTCATGTGAGTAAATCTAATGCAGTCAATGTAGTTACTCATGTGAGTAAATGCTGAAGGATCAGGCCCATATTTTGCAATGATGTTGTCCAGCAATATAAGAGGACCGTGAGCATTACTTTGTTTTGATTTGCATTTTATTTGCAAGGTAAATTTAAGTTTTTCCAGAGCACGTTTATTGGGATATACCGTAGCAATGGAATTGACCCTTGTCCCTGCTCTCAGATAGCAAAAGAGCCTTGGAAACGGAGGGGTTTCCTAAACTTTTCTGAAGACCTTTATTATAGCCAATAAACAGGAATGTGAGTTTTTGCAGGTGGTTGGTACAGAACCACCACTGTACAGCAATGACGAGTCTCCCAACAGGAGCCAACAGCGGTTTAGTGCTACTCAAGGGCACTACTCACTGTGAGTAAGGATTCCACAGTCTAGGCGTTATGAAGCAAAGATCCTGTTGGCATCCAGATGTCCCCGCTAATTTACCATGGTTACTCAGCAGAGTTGTTTCTAAATGGAATTTTTTTTCAGAGGCTTCCATGTGGCATTAGCTTCTCTTTGAAAGTGGAGCTGCTAACATCTTTCTGGGCTCCCTAAGAAGGGTATTCCCGCAGCACACTGTGCTGATGTATTAGCGTTCTTCATGTGCGTAGCACCTCCCTTTGTGCTCACAGTGACTGAGGAAGTGTTTGCTAAACCCTGGTAGTTTCCAGATCCTCTCCCCTCTTAATTACCAGGTGCAAAGGCTAACAGCTGTTCGGGCCTTTATCTCTTTGTCGATTGAGAGTTAGCCAAACAGTTGCACTTGCACACACGTGGTGGTAAAGATAAATGTTCACAATGTATTAATGAGCCTCGCAGAGTCCTCCTATTCCACTGCTCTGAGAGTGCACATCATGGAATCAGAGATGAAGTCTAGGCATGTCCCTGTTGCTTGAGATATTTAAAATTAGACTGAACAAAAAAATAAAAGCCCTAGAAAATAGCTAGGAACAATCCTGTAATAGCAGGTGGGATGGATCTGAGAGCTCATCTCAAACCACGACATTTCCTTGTAGCCACTGAAATAACTGTATTAAATCATTGCTTAAAGTTATGGTCCCGATCCTCAGCTGGTGTAAATCAACATTTCATTCCCTCTGAAGCACCTGGCATTGGCCACTGTTGGAAGACAGGATACTGGGCTAGATGGACCTTTGGTCTCACCCAGTATGGCCATTCTTATGTAACATAGCTCCATTGACTTCACTGAAGCTACGCTAATTTACATCAGCTAAATAAATGCCTGAAATGAAAGGGAACTCAGACAAGAACAATAAAAACAAACAAATTCAAGTGTGTTTCTATTTCAGCATGTGAGTCTGGAGAAAGAAAAGATTTTAAGGCTACATTTGAAATAGGACTCAGGCCTCAGAATAAGAGCCTTTTCTTTTCTTTTATTTTTATACTATAGCCGACTGGTCTAAGAAACGCTGAACTGGAAAGAAATGGACTTTATCCTCCCTACACTGGTTTACCTGGATCCAGACATTCATGCATCTACCCTGGACAATATAACCTATCCTTTATTAGTGATGAAACCAGAAGAAGAGACTATTTTTAACATAATTGTGTGGGAGTGGAAGATCAACATAGATATGTGTCCTTGTTTACCAGGTACACTCTGTCACATGACAGTTCAGCTGATACCAGTCTTAATCTTTACATACAGGAAGGACTTTGAACTCAAAAGAACACAGAGCACTGCTGCCTTGAAAACCCATTTGTAGTTGTTGAGTAGCGAAGATGGAGGGGAAGAATGAGCCAATATGCAGATCTGTAAAAGACCCAGGTGGAAGTTTATGGAAGTTAACTTGTGCACTCCATTTTTATCTTCGCCATTGACGTCACGTAACATGAATTTGTTAATAGATCAGTACAGACAGTAATTGTTGCCTGCACTCTAAAATGAATACCACTAGGGAGTGTTTTGTTTACAGATATTGTAAAATTACAGATACTGGTCTGACTACTATGTGTTTCCTCTTGGCCAACTTGTATGCAAAGATGCACTGTGTGCTCTTTTTGGGTAGGAAGTGTATGTTCATTTCAGACCCTTCTCTGCCTTTCCATGTTATGATCTGCTTCCTATGCAACAAGGGAGCTGGATTGCCCACTAAATATTATTTTTCTTTATTGGTATGTGTCATTCTGTCAAATGTCTCAGTGCTTAACTAAGCACTGCATCTGGCAATGATGGCTGAATTCATAGGTTGACATTTTCAAAGGCGTATGGGGGATTTAGCCACGCCTCCTTAATTTTAATAGGAAAAGGTATAACTGATCCCTTGCACTGCTTTGAAAATCTCCTTTGTGTTTGGAAATGTCTGAATGTGACAGTGTATTGCCCACTGAGCTGCAATGTTGTTCAAAACTTGTGTTATTATATTGTGGTAAGTCACCATAGCAACCTCCAGCAGGAATTTAAATGCTTTTTAAAAGCAGCAAGATCAGATAAAGTATTCATTAATGGAGCAATAAATTACAAGATAAAATTGTTGAGGTAGATCGCATTGCTTTGCAGAAAATGTGTGTAGCCATAATGAACTTCAGGGAGAAAGTGGGCAAGAACAGAAGTATTATAGCCCTGGTTGGACTAATGTACCATGAATTTTAGACTTTGCATTGGATCCAGCCAGCCACAGCTCCCATGATTTCAATGGGCACTGCAGAGCTACTCAGCACATCAGAAAATCAGGCCTATTGTGGCCAGATGCATTTGACTGTGGGAGAAGCACAAGGCTTTGGATCACAAAAAAACTGTTAAGGACTTCCAGCTGTCTTCTCTGTGTCAGTCCTATTAGCTGGCAGTTTGCACTGGATTCACAGTTAGTCACTGCAAATGGAGCTGGTCAGGAATTTGTGACATTTTGACCCCCAAAAATTCAACGTTTTTTGCAAAAAAGCATTTTTTACAAGCTTATTGTGTAGTCTGTGGTTTTAGCAAATTTGAATGATCAACAACAAATTTGCATGAAAAACTATAAAATATTTGTTGTGAAGGTCTTTCTGCATTTTTCAATAGGGTCTAACTTCACAGTTGTTTCATTCTTGAAGAACTCTTTAACTTATTTCACCAATCCTATTTGGTGATACTATGTAGCTTCCCTGAACACATTATTTTTGAAGATATCACATTTGGCTGTTGTAAAAATGTCTGTTGATCACTGAGGAAGAAGCTCCAAATAGATAATTTATTACATTCCTAACTAAGGGTCTGATCCAAAGCTCTCTGACTTCATTCTGTGCAGGGTTGGGTGCTTGGTGAAGATCACGTTAATCAAAAACACTTAGAGTTTGTCTTCACTGCAAAGTGAACTCGAATTATAACTCAAGTTGCCCCTAGCTCAACTCCCTTCCACACACAAAAATCCTTAACTCAAGTTAGCTGGTCTGAGATGGGGTATAAACTAAACTCGAATCAGCTATTAACATAATCTCTTTGCAGTGTGGCTGCAGGCTAGCTCCACTCTAGTGCCACTAATCTTACAATGCCTTCCCACAATTCTCCCTGTGTGCTCAGAAAAGGCTTACAAGTTCTCCCACAATACATGGGAAAGAATTTATAGAGTGGCTTCGCTTACTGCAGCGCTTAACAATGGAACGTGCCCTTAGAGTTCTTAGTGCCACATTTGAGTGAGTATAGCATCAGTGTGGACGCAGGAACTTGAGTGCTATGTCCCAGAGTGGCTGCTGTCACTCTGGCTAAGATAACTCTAGAGCAGTAACTTTGCAGTGAAGGTCACATGAGTTAACTCTATAGTGAAGACAGACCCTCAATTAACTGACACTTAATAGTGTTTGTTTGCCATAGAGCCTGTGATCCTAAAGAGTCTTGCCCAGCACTCAGCAAGTTGTTGTGCCCCATCTCAAGTGTGAACAGACGCACAAGTAAGATTCAGTACTAGGCATTAGTTCTTCTTTGAGTGTAGTGTCCCTGTGGGTGCTCCACTTTAGGTGTGCCTGAGCCTTTGGTTGGAGATTTTTGGTAGCAGCATCTGCTTGGCCTGCATATGTCCCCCACACCCCTCCTGCCCCACACCGAGACTATATGAGGCCATGCGGATGAACCACCCTCAGTTCCTTCTCAACCACCTGCGGCCTGTGACAGAGTCTACAACTGTGCCTGTTCTCTACTAGTATTCGGAATTTAGTTTGTTGGTTAATATGTTCTGTTTGTAGTTGTTGGAACAGCTTTCTTTCTTTCTTTCTTTCTTTCTTTCTTTCTTTCTTTCTTTCTTTCTTTCTTTCTACAAAAAAGTTTAAAATCTTATTTAAAATTATTTTTGTTCATAGATATAGTTAGGGTTGAGTTCCCCCCCCCCCTTTAATAGGGGTCAATTTGTCGTAATTTGCTTGGGATTGCTAGGCTTCCTGGGATTTAAAAAGTGCTTCTCTTGTCATGAGGCTATTCTAGTCATCAGCTGGATTATCTGTTGGAACTGAAAACATTGGGCCTTTCTATGAACTCCATTAGGCTATTACTTAGCAGCAATAACAGCCTTTCACATACCCATACGGGGTTTTTTGCTCTTTGCTCATCCGGCCCTGGTAAGATTCCTAAGAGGTTTGTCGAATCTCTGCCCACAAATCAGAGACTCTACTCCTGGCTGGGACCTGAACCTAGTCCTGCATTGCCTTATGAAGTACCCCTTTGAACCACTAGTATTTGTTCTTTGTTAGATCGATCAATGAAGACAGTCTTCTTGGTAACTCTAACTTCTGCCCAAAGGGTCAGAGAATTGGGGACTTTAATGGTGGACCCCCATTTATGGTATTCATTACAGAGCAAGTATCTCTGTGGGCCCATCCCAGATTTTTACCTAAAGTGTCCTCAGAATTTCTTATTTCATCAAACCATTCATTGCCTGGTTTGTTTGTTTTCCCCCAAAACCACATTGGACTAGTTAAGAAGCCATGTTGCATACGCTAGATGCATTAGCTTTTTATTTAGATAGGACCAAACCTTTTAGAAGGTCTCCTAGATTATTTGTATCCATTGCAGACAGAAAGAAGGGTTCAGTTATTTCAAAATAGAAGTTATCAAAGTGAATCTCTGATGTATTACAGTTTGTTATGACGAAACTCAGATTCAACTCCCTTCAAGAGTGATAGTACATTCCACTAGAGTATTTTCTTCTTCTACCGCCTAGCTTAAGGATGTGTCAATTGGAGACATCTGTAGAGCGCAACATGGTCCTCAGCCACCTGTCTTTTCTAATCACTGTGCCTTGGTGTCTGCGGCAAGATCAGATGCAGCTGTAGGCGATGCAGTTCTCTCTTCTGTATTGGACCCTGGTCCAAACCTCTCACCTTCTTAGGGCTATACTGCTCTGAAGTGGTGCACCCACAGGGACACTACTTGAGGAAGAAGGAGAGATTACTCACCTTGTGCAGTAACTGTAGTTCTTCGACGTGTGTGTTCCTATGGGTGCTCCACTACCTGCCCTCCTTCCCCTCTGCTTTGGAGTCTCCTTTGTGGGACTTGCGGTGGAGAAGGAACTGAGGGCGGGTCATCCAGTGGCCCCATATAGGCTTGGTGCGGGGTACAAGGATGTGTGGGGCGCGTACATGGGCCGAACGGGTGCTGCTACCAAAAACCGCTGATCAAAGGCGCAGGTGCAACGGAAGTGGAGCACCCACAGGAACATACATCTCAGAGAACTCCAGTTGCTGCACAAGGTGAGTAACCTCTCCTTCTCTGCACTTCATGGTAGTAGGTTTCAGACCCCTGTTCGTGCCTTGTCCCTTCCTCTTGAGATTGTAAGATAAGAGAGGTGCACCAGAGGAATGTATCTGAGGAGACATTTGCTTAAGTGTGATCCATAGTGTGCAAATGCAACACTTAACTGCACACTCCGCTTTTTATGTTACTGCTGCAGGCAATAGGCAGAAGTAACAATGTGATTGTGCACCAACATTCTCAGGTCAGGGTCCGCTGTTCTTCCCACCCTGTTTATGGCTTTTGATCTTGCCCTGAACTTCATACCTGCCTTGTTCAGGCTCAAGCCCACAGATGGTAATATTTAACATAGCTCAACTCTGAACAAGCAGGCAGTGTGATTCTTGTATAATCTACCCCTTCCTAAGGAGCTCTACTTAAAGGAAAACTCTAGTGATTAGTTATAATACACAAAACAGCTTAATAGATAAACATAACTGGCTAGACAGTATTACTGCAGAAAAGGAGCTGATGGTTATAGTGGATCACAAATTAAACATGAGCCAACAATGTGATGCAGTTGTAAAAAAGACAAATAACATTCTGGTATATATTAACCACTCTGCTGTGCACTGATGAGGCCTCAGCTGGAGTACTGTGTCCAGCTCTGGGTGCCGCACTTTAGGAAACATGTGGACAAATGGAGGAGAGTCTGAAGGAGAGCAACAAAAATGATAAACGGTTTAGAAAACCAGACCTATAAGGAAAGCTTAAAAAACTGGGTATGTTTAGTGTTGAGAAAAGAAGACTGAGGAGGCACCTGATAACAGCAGTCAGATAGGGCTGTTATAAAGAAGACAGTGATCAATTGTTCTCCTTGTCCACTGAATGTAGTACAAGAAGTAATGGGCTTAATCTGCAGCAAGGGAGATTTAGGTTACATGTTAGGAAAAACTGTCTAACTACAAGGATATTAGAGAGACAAGGTGGGTGAGGTAATATCTTTTGTTGGACCAACTTCTGCTGGTGAGAGAGACAAGCTTTCGAACCACACTGAGTTATTCTTTGGGTCTGGGAAAAGGTACTCCCAGCATCACAGCAAAATGCAAGTGGAACAGATTACTTAGCATAAGTAGTTAGCACATACAATATTGTAAGGAACCATTCAATGTAGAGTGGCCTGTTAACAAAAAGAGGGGTTAGTGGGTTACAGATTATGGTAATAAACAATAAATCCAGTGTCTCTCTTCAGTCCATGTTTTTTAGGGTCTAGCGGAGTAATGAGTTTAAGCTCCCCGGCTCATCTTTTGAAAGTGTTGTGCAGTTTCCTTTGAGGATGAGGACTGAAAGGTCACATTGCTTTGTGAAAAGTGTTCACCCACAGGTGACAGGGTGTTTTTGTCTTTTATCATTTTCCTGTGTGAGTTCATTTGAGAGTGTAGGGATTGCCTGGTTTCACCCACATAGTTGTTGT